GGGGGGGGCGCACCGGGACGTGGACAGCTGAGCTCCTTAGCCTTATCTCCTCTCCCTGAGATTTCTCGGGCATCCAAATTGTTCCCATATTCCTGTAAACTGTGCAGGGGCCCCGAAGACTCCACCCAATTTGGCTCAGGCCTGGGGATGGCAGGAAAAGGACTGGGGTCTCATGGCTGTGGGACCTGGCCTCCAGGGGCAGTGAGACAATTAAAGACAAATGAGGAAGCAGAAGCCGTATGTAGCTATGTCCCAAATAGCGAGTTTGGGCGGTTAGAAAATAGTGATCTATCTGTAAACTTTGAAGAATTTGCAAAGGGGAAGGTGGGGAGAGAAGTGTCTCAGGTGGGGCACTGCCCCCTGGGCGAGGCTGACCCTGTGCCCAGGCTCAGCCACCCCTCACTGCTGGCAGACCTGTTAGCAGACAAGCCATTTCAGTCTCCTCGTCCTTCAGGGCTGCACCAGACGCCATAAATTGAAGAGCAGAGAGCAGCGCTCCCCAGGAAAGCCGAGAAGCAGGTCGTAAATACCAAGCTGGGCTGCTGTCATGTTTCAAATTCGAGTCGCCGTGCTGGCCCACAGCAGAGTGATCTGCTGGCCCCTACGGGTCCGCTGGCCCACAGGCTCTCTAGGGCGCATTCACCCAACAAGAATTTCCCCAGCACTGCCCTTTGCTTCCCAGTATTGTGGGGAAAAGGGGGGCTGGTGTCAGGTCTTGTTACTAGAGTCTGTGCAAACAAAGCTGACTTGAGGGGAAGAGCTATAGTGGGGACATCGATGCCCTGAGCAAGGCACAAGTGTCATTCCGACTCCATAACAAAGCACCACAGGCTGGCAGCTGACACAACAGTTTCCTCGCAGCCCTGGAGCCAGACCCCAGAGGCCAAGGTGTCAGCAGGGCTGTGTCTTCCCTCTCCTTGGCTTGCAGATGGCTCTTTTCCCTGTGTCCTCACGTGGTCTTTGCCTTGTAACGTCTGTCTCCAAATTTCTTCTTTTTATAAGGACAGCAGTCAAATTGGATTGGGTCCCACCCTAACGGTGTCATTTTAACTTAATTACCTCCTTAAAGATGCCATCTGCAATTATGGTCCCATTCTGCAATACTGAGGATTAGGACTTCGACATATGAGTTTCAGAGGACACAATTCAGTCCAAAACACTGGCTGAAGGAGGTGGCCCCAGAGCAAGACCTGGTGGGGGGAGCAGATAAGACCTGGCCCTGCTGAGGTGAAGGGCAGGATGTCATAGGAAGAAGCAGCATTGGCAAAGCCACGGGATGCGTGGGCTGGAGGGACAGTGAACAAGTGCGCAGACAGAGGGCTAGGCGGAGGCTGGGGCGAGAGGCTGCTGCTCGGGCTGGGGCCGGGGGCAGGCGATGGGCGAGGCCAGTGGGAGTGAGGCGCAGAGATGGACCATCCCGCACACCCTTCCCGGTGCCCGGCTCACAGGAGGTGCTCCACGGCCGTTGCTTAGCGTGCGCGCCTGCGGGTGCATGAATGTGCCCCCGGGGCAGCCACGTGGAGCTGGTGGTTCTGGGAGTAAAAGAACATCTCAGAGATGGCAGGTCCAGCAGCAGCCCTTCCACAGGCGGGTAAAGCGAAAGGGAGTGAAGAAGAGGGGAAGAGATTGGAGGACGCGGGTGGGGTGTCAAGGTCTGGGACCAGGGTGGAGTCGGGGTGACGCCAGCAGCCTGGGGGTAAGCTGGTCAGTGCCGTCCATGGCGCTGGAGCGCAGGAGGCTCCAGGGAGGAGGGGAGGGCTGGGCAGAGTGCTGCCCGGGGGGTGGAGAAGCACGGAGCACGGTTCCGGCCCCCGCAGCTGCACCAGGCGAGATTCGGTGACCGCCTGGTCACAGCCTCTTCCCTTGAGGCACTAAGGCGAGATCCTGGCCTTGCACTGGGGCCTCTGCACCTTCTCCAGGACCAGTTCTTATTGTCTGCAGGTGGGAAGCTGCTCTGCACACAAATCCAGAGGGAACAGGGGCACTCAGGGCCTTCGCTGCAGACCTGGTCACACTGTGGGCTCCAGGGGGTTAAAAACAGTCTACTGGGGAGACAGACAGAGCAGCCCGGGATGGGGGCACGAAGGGAGCCCAGGTGCAGGTCCAGAGTCTAAAGGTTCTCGGCAACTGCGGGGGCAGCTGGTTCCTCCTGGCTCGGTATTCAGAAAGTGGCCGGCTGTGCCTGGGGCCCCTGGTGGTTGTCAGTGACGGGGAGGATTCCAGGACAGAGGCCTGGGGAGCAGAAGGACAGAGGCTTGGGGAGGGGAAGGAGAGAGGCCTGGGGAGCGGAAGGACAGAGGCTTGGGGAGGGGAAGGACAGAGGCCTGGGGAGGGGAAGGACAGAGGCCTGGGGAGGGGAAGGACAGAGGCCTGGGTTGGGGAGGGGAGGAGAGAGTAGGCTCCGTACTAAGATCCCCAGCAAAACAGCTGGAGCAGAGGCTGGAGCTCTGGCTTCCTGGGCTGAAGTACAAGGGCCACGTGGATCCAGGCTGCCAGAATCCCACATCCAGCGGCGACAAGGAGGCCCCAGAGAGTGTGAGGACAGGGATGTGCAGTGAGGGTCGTGGATAAAGGCAGTGCCCAGGCCCGGGCCACCTGAGCCCCGTTCCCAGGGTTCCTACTTCCTGCCAACAGCAGCCACAGTTTCTGTTTCTATAAAACCGGAGCCCACTGTCTACCTGGTAGCTTGTCACGAGACTGAAATCATATCCGGTTATTTATGGAGGGACAAAGCAAATGACAAGCTGCTGGTCCCTGACACGGAGCAGTCTTTCAATTTACCACTTACTTGTTCACGTACTAGTGTTTCTTCTTGCTGCTCCAGGCCCTGTGGCAGGCCCCGGGACAGAGAAAGATGTTGCCCGCCCAAGGAGTCCCCTGCCCGGGCTGGGGGGGGGCACAGAGGAAATGGCAGGAGGCAGGAGCTGGTGCCCAGAGATGCGCCAGGCTGGAGGGCAGCGCTCGCATGGGGATGGCATTGCCTCCGGAATGCAGGTCCAGGCTCTGACCCTGGTCCCACAGAGCCTGACCCATGGGCTGCAGCAGGAGCCACAGTCTGCATGGTAAACCGTCTCCCAGGCGATGCTGATGCAGGCTCCAGGGGCCCCACTTAGAATACTCGGGCAGACAGTGGCAGGGCAGAGGGCAGAGGCACTTGCCCACTGCTGCCCACCCAGTGGTTTCAAGACAGGGGCCCTGATTCCACTCCCCTCCGCAAGCTCAGCCTGAGAGAGCAGCCTGGCCCAGCTCTCTCCCAGCTCAGCCCATCATAGCTTCTTAATAACTGTGAGGCCAGTGCCCACCTCCGACCCCACCCCTGGAGGG